CGTGTACAGTTGTTGGTGTGTACAGTTGATGGTGTGTACAGTTGTTGGTGTGTACAGTTGCTGGTGTGTACAGCTGTTGGTGTGTACAGTTGTTGGTGTGTACAGTTGATGGTGTGTACAGTTGATGGTGTGTACAGTTGTTGGTGTGTACAGTTGATGGTGTGTACAGGTGTTGGCGTGTACAGTTGTTGGCGTGTACAGTTGTTGGCGTGTACAGTTGATGGTGTGTACAGTTGTTGGTGTGTACAGTTGCTGGTGTGTACAGCTGTTGGTGTGTACAGTTGATGGTGTGTACAGTTGATGGTGTGTACAGTTGTTGGTGTGTACAGGTGTTGGTGTGTACAGGTGTTGGTGTGTACAGTTGATGGTGTGTACAGGTGTTGGCGTGTACAGTTGTTGGCATGTACAGTTGTTGGCGTGTACAGTTGTTGGCGTGTACAGCTGTTGGTGTGTACAGCTGTTGGTGTGTACAGTTTATGGTGTGTACAGGTGTTGGTGTGTACAGTTGTTGGTGTGTACAGTTGATGATGTGTACAGGTGTTGGTGTGTACAGGTGTTGGTGTGTACAGGTGTTGGTGTGTACAGTTGTTGGCGTGTACAGTTGATGGCGTGTACAGTTGTTGGCGTGTACAGTTGTTGGTGTGTACAGTTGTTGGTGTGTACAGTTGATGATGTGTACAGTTGATGATGTGTACAGGTGTTGGTGTGTACAGGTGTTGGTGTGTACAGTTGGAGGTGTGTACATGTTGTTGATGTGTACATGTTGTTGATGTGTACAGTTGTTGGTGTGTACATGTTGGTGTGTACAGTTGTTGGTGTGTACATGTTGGTGTGTACAGTTGTTGGTGTGTACATGTTGTTGATGTGTACAGTTGTTTGTGTGTATATGTTGTTGGTGTGTACATGTTGTTGGTGTGTACAGTTGTTGCGTACAGTTGATGTGTACATGTTGTTGATGTGTACAGTTGTTGATGTGTACATGTTGGTGTGTACAGTTGTTGGTGTGTACATGTTGTTGATGTGTACAGTTGTTTGTGTGTATATGTTGTTGGTGTGTACATGTTGTTGGTGTGTACAGTTGTTGATGTGTACAGTTGATGTGTACATGTTGTTGATGTGTATATGTTGTTGGTGTGTACAGTTGTTGATGTGTACAGTTGATGTGTACAGTTGATGTGTACATGTTGTTGATGTGTACAGTTGATGTGTACATGTTGTTGATGTGTACATGTTGTTGGTGTGTACAGTTGATGTGTACATGTTGATGTGTACAGTTGATGTGTACATGTTGATGTGTACATGTTGTTGATGTGTACAGTTGATGTGTACATGTTGTTGATGTGTACAGTTGTTGATGTGTACAGTTGTTGATGTGTACAGTTGTTGATGTGTACATGTTGATGTGTACAGTTGATGTGTACAGTTGATGTGTACATGTTGATGTGTACATGTTGTTGATGTGTACATGTTGATGTGTACATGTTGATGTGTACATGTTGATGTGTACAGTTGAT